GTGCAGGACGCTCGGCTCAGCTGGTTATTCAGGCATCTCAGGTAAGGAAACCTCACCCCTGGTACAGGGAAAGCCACAGGCCTGACCCAAGCTGCAGCAACCAGCGGACTGTGACTGAGGGGCTGCCCGAAAGATGAGCCGCCCGGAGGGGCCACCCGTCTTGCTCCATCATGTTTTGGGCTGGCTGGGGCTCCCAAAAGGAGCACCCCAACAAAATGTTGCAGCTTGGGGAGTGGCCCCCATGTGCCAGCTCAGGCACCCAGGTGTAGAGACGAAAAAGTTGCTTCTTGTTCTCTTCCCGGCGGGAGGGAGCAGCGCCCTCCTCAAGGCTTCTTTGTGGCCTTAAGCTGAGGAGTGTCGATTTGGCCCGTCATGGTTTCAGGGCAGCCACAGGGCAGGGCAGGGTGAGAAGGAAGGTGGAATCCTTCCTCTGCCAAACCCACTGGCGGTGCAGGATGCCTGCGGGCTGCCTGGACTTGTGGGTGTTTATCCAGCCCAGTCACGCTGTGGTTGGCCTCTGGCCCGGTTGGTGCTGTCAGCCTGAAGGCTGGAGGGAGGGAATCCCTAACGATCATTGTTAATTGGCAATCACCATCTTTGCATGCTTGCAGAGCGAGTCAGTGCCTCCTAGGTCTTCCCTGTCACTATGAATTAGAACAGCGCTTTTTGGTAGTAAATGCCAGTTAGATTCCATGGCGGTGAGACAGGATCCTGCTCAGGGTGTATGTGTGTGTGGCAAAACGAAAGGGTTGCTGACAGGGTTTACTGTCTCCCCCCAAGACGGCGTAGCTTCAACTCTCTGTGGAAGCCGGAGCCTTACACTACTATCTACTTGAGTTCAGTGACGTGTTCCTCCTGGGATCAGGAGATGGAGGGGCTATGTAACCCTCACATGCCGACACCTTCCCGTTCTCTCTTCTCTTTGTTCTGCCACTGAAACCTGTTATTCCTTCCCAACAACCCATCAGAAAGGACGAGAAACTGAATTTGCAGACTGTTCGGGCTGGGGTGCCAAAAGCTTCTGCTGTGACCATCAGACACTTCCAGCACTTAAGGAATCCCCTTTTCTATTTGCACATCCTCTTTAATGCCTACCTTGACCCCTAAAGTGTGTTACTGGAGACGTTTTCTCTCCGTCATGATGGAGTCATAGACAGGTGGCTTTCGCATGTGTATGACACTCTATATACACCCAGAAACTCTTTCTGTCTTGTGTTGGCTCCACCTTTTCCATTTGGGCGAAAGAGAGCAGTGCAGAGCCTGAGACCTGCAGGTTGGTCTAGGAATTCCTTCTGGTCTAATTTTTGAAAAAGAGAAAGAAAGAAAAAAAAACCCACAATCCAATTCCAGACCCAGCTTGAAAAGAGAGCATGGTCCACCAGCAAAGCTGTTCTCTCTCTTGTGTTCCTCTCAACGGGACATGGGCAGAAGAGCTTCTGAGTCAATTGAGCTCCCTGGGTTAGAACTGTTTACTTTCCATGAGTTCAGAAAAGTTACTGTTTTTGGACCAGGACTCCCAGAATTGGCCAGGCTAGCTGGGGAAGTGGCTTGTCCGGGTTTGATTTGAGGCCACAGTTCTCCTCTTCAATCCACACCATATGCAGATACCCGCCTACAGGCAAAGCGTGGGGTACCTGGTCAGCAGGGGAGGCGGGAGGGTCTGGTCCAAGGCACGGCACAGCACAGCGTGGGATGGTGGGGCTGGGCTTAGCTTTTAAAAGGGAACCTGGAAAGATCCCCATTCCCTGCAGCTGTATCTCCAGTTTCACATTTTCTTTTTACCAGGGGTGAACATATCTGAGCCAGCCCCCCCATGCTTGCCTCAAGCACCTTGCAAGTCCGTGGACTTCGAAGGTAAGCAGCGCCAGAAGGACCAGGCAGGCTGGGTTTGTCATAGCAAAAGATGGACTTGTCTTTGCAAGGATCAGGATTTCCATCTTCAGGATTTTGAAAATTGCCAGTGTGCCTCTGAGCATGTGTGAAAGGAGTCTTCCTGCATTTAGGGCCCACCTCAGTAGGGCTCACAACCTGGCCCTCTATAAAGGTGGAGGACTTTTTATTATCCTGAGGATGGTGGGAGTCGATCTGTGTGTGAAATGGTGGAGAAGGGAAACCCAGGTCTTTATTGCCTTGATTCAATAGCTCCCTCCCCCTCAACACCTTTTATAACACCATACCTTATGACCCTGAAAGCTTGCACAAAAATTTGGGCCTCCCCCCCCCATTTTTAATAAATTGGCTCATTAAAATATCATAATAATATGGATTTTGGGCTCCTGCGGCTGAAGTTTTTAGCTTTGTTAAAAGTGGCTGCCCATCAGAGGCGAGTCACAGTTTGCCTTTGTGAAGTTTGTTGATGAAACAGTTTGTAAAGAGAAAATACACTCTTTATGTGGTCAGTGGCACTGTGAATTTGGGGCACCACATTTGGTAGCTGTCCTTATCATTGGTGTGCCCCTTTCAGACATTTTCAGAGGCTGGCAAGTGAGCGTTGAACCTGTCCCTGCCGAGGACGAGGAAGCCCCCTCGAAGCTCACCTCTCCGTGCTACAGGTGAGCAAAGTGCCTCCCTCCATCAGGACTGGTAAGCAGGCTGAGTCTCCCTGGACTGGGTGAGCCCATCTCTTGCTGTCCTTTTGCCCTTTCCAGATGGTGCATCAAGCAGCAGTGGGTGGACTTGCTGGCGGAAGGCCTCTGGGAGGCACTCCTGGACCAGTACCAACCCAACATCACCATCATGGACTGGTAAATAAGGGAGCGATGGATGGATGGATGGATGGATGGATGGATGGAAGGATGGAAGGAGAAGGAGAAGGAGAAGGAGAAGGAGAAGGAGAAGGAGAAGGAGAAGGAGAAGGAGAAGGAGAAGGAGAAGGAGAGTGAGCGAGCCTTCTAGGCTCCAACTCAGCTGCAGCAGGACCCGGCCCGGGGAGTGGGGAGGGGATGGCAACCTGGAGTCAGGTGTCTGTTTCTAGCAACACTAGAAGTGTTCTCCTGAGCTGCCCACCCACAGTTCTGAAAACTGCAATATACAGTATTTTGTTTCGAGTCTTTGAGGATCCTGTGTGATGGGTGTTTTCACATCAGATGTTACAAAGCAAGCCTCTTCCCTTGTTCCAAGTGTTGAGATTGTAGCACTGATCCGACCCAAAATGTCATCAAATCAATATTATTCCCTTCCCCACAAATATTAGGGCTCAAAAATTAAGAGGATGTTTTCAGAGATGTCAGCTTGTTTGTCTATACAAAGGAAGAGGGAAAGCAAAGTCTTTGTGGCACCCTAAAACTTAGAACTGATTTCTCTCAGCACAACTACACAGGAATTGCAGTCCACCATTTTGTGGATTGTAATCTCTGAACGTTGACACTGCAATAAATCTGTTAATCTTCTGTGCATACATTTGTGATACAAATGAAGATGAATTTCTTGGTGTAGCTCTGGTGGAGGGGGAGGGCAGCAGTCTGATGTGAAAGTCTGTCCCGTGGGCTCTTGTGTAGGGGTGCTAGTGCGGGTGCTGAGGTGTGGGTGCCTGGGAGTTCCTAGATGATTTGGGCAACCGGGCCAGGCTGCTCTGTGGAGCTCCTGGCCAGCTTGTCCACAGTCACTGGTTCTTTTCCTCCCCTCAGGTACGAGAACAGCACCTTGGCCCCGCCGGTCTATGAGCTTCACATCCGGCTCCTGGGAACCACAGAGGCTGCGGTGATCAGAGAATTTCACTACGTGGCCTCTCTAAAAGAGCGAGATGGGAAGAACAAGGACTGGCACCATGTAAGAGAAAGCTCCTGTGATCCCTGGGAAAACCAAGGCCAAGAGAGAATGGACGAGGGGTGCTCAAGGAGTCTGTGCCCGAGAAGGGGGCAGGAGACCGTTGAACGCTTTGTATCCCAGATCCCAAGCTAAGGAGTCTGTTCGTCTTACATAGTTATAGCCGTTTAGCCCCCTTGCCTACGCACAAAGCATTCTGGGAATTGTAGTTGCGGTGACCCATTTTGTATCCTCCACGTCATCGAAAGCTCTCAGGTTCTCCAGCCTGGAACAGGAGCAAAGACTTCCCAGGATGTGGTGCGACCGCTCCAGATCCTGGAATCCTGCAGAAAGGAGCCATGGCCGTTAAAGTGCGCAGGGAGGGTTTTCGCCATGCCATATAGACATACAACAAGTTCAATAAGCCACACGAATGACTCTATGCATGAAGAACTATTTTTCTGAGGAAGGTGTGTGTCTGGGTGGAAGTAGGAAGGCAGGTGGGAGGGAGGGAGGAAGGGTTTTTCCTGGGTCTCCCGGTGCAGCCCCTCTGTTGCTTCAAAGTCTTTTCTTCTTCTTTCAAGGTTTCCCACGTCTTCCAGGACTATGGCCCGGGCGTCCGTTACGTCCACTTTCTGCACAAGACCAAGGAGGCTGAGACTCTGGCTGGGCTCCTCCGAACGAGAGTGACGGACAGCAGTGTCTCGGTGCAGCTGCGGGACTGAGGGGTGGGGGAGGGGGGAGCTCGCCATTTCTCTTCTAATTCTGCAACCCGGATTTGGGTGTGCTTTAAGCCACCTGCCAGGGAAGGTATCAGCAGAGATTCGCAGCCCCTCGCATACAGCAGGAGGGCTGAACTTGGGGAGCTGAGGGAGCCTGTGGAGGGGAAGCCCAAAGGGGAGCAGCGTCTCTGTCGCCTTTGCGTGTGGTGGGGTGCTAGGTGTGACTCCCTCAGAGCAGGCCCCTCGCAGCCATCTTCCAGGGCAGGCGTTTCCCCCATTGCGCGACCCCCAGAGATTTGGGGAAGAGATTTTTCTGGGCTTCAGACTCCCAGAATCCCCAGCCAGGGAGGCTCTGATACTAGGTGGCTTGCACGGACTCCGTTTATACCTCAGAGTGTCAAGCAAGAGCGCACATCTCAAGGGAGGAAGAGGTCCCCTCCTCTGCTCTCCACCCACCCTCAAAGGAACCTCTCCCTCCATATCCAACAAACGCCAGGAGAACCTAACAAGGGATGGCAGCCCTTTCGCTGACACCCACTGCCGTTTGGGGCATGTTTACTCAGCCGCAGGACACGCGGTGTGACAGAATAACTTCCCATTGTTTCCTGTTAAGTCTGTGTATAACTGCAACCTTCCGCTCTTCGCACATCTGTACAGGGACCCTAATACAGGCCTATTGATGTTCCTATCAAGGTACCTTTAAGGAAAGAGTTGCTTTTTTGAAATGTCTTGCAGGGATCTGTGTGTGTGTATGTGTGAATGGGTGGGAGGGAAATCAGCCCTCAGGAACCTTGAAGGGGGGGTCTTGATGTCACAGCTCCTGCCTCCATCATCACAGGGACCCTCGAGATGGCTGTGATGATCCAGCACTGAGGGGAGGTGGCTGTGATTCTGCTGGCACTGGGAGGCACGGTCTTCATTACCTCTTGCCNCCCGTGAAGGGCTGATCTCTGGCTTCCCAGTCTGAGGGTGGTTGCATCCTGGCCCCACATTCAGTCCCACACTGCCCCACACACTCCCACATCCCCACACACAATCGCCTCCCCAGCCCTCCCTCTTCCCTAGACAGTCTTGCCAAATCTGAAGATGCCTCCGAGGAAAGAAGAAAATTGAAAACAGTTTGCTTGGTTGGTGGGGATTATTGCGTTCTGCTCTTGGGCTGCTGAAGGCCCTTTCCAATTAAAGGCCTCCGACACGAGACGAAAATAAAAGCTCCTCCTACTTACTTGCTGACCTTGAGCTACAAAGAGGAGCGAGCGAATGAGGGAGAGACCCAACCTTTCCAAAGTCATGTTCCTTCGCTTTTAATTATATTGATCGTGACAAAGCGCAACAATAATAACCGAGATGAGACAGAGGGAGCGTTTGCCGCAAAGCGGATCTTGGGGAAGCAACAAGGCGGGGGGGGGGAGAAACGGCTTTGAAGATGGAAAGCCTGTCCTAAAAACGCCCGAGAACAAAGCGGGAGGGGAAACAAAAACTTTAAACATCAGAGGGGACAAATCTTTCAGGCAGGGTGACAAAGCTGGAGATTGCCCTGATTTCTAAGCACAGGAGATTGCAGGGGGAGAAAGAGAGAGAACTCCCTTACAACCCACCAGCAGCGTTATTTATTTGTCATTGTTCTTGGTTTGGTGCCGGGAGATAATAAATCCACCTGGGTTTTTGCAGCAAGCCACGGTCGCCCTCTGGTCAGTGAGAAGCTTGAGCAAGCTCTTCGCTGCTGGAAAATGAAGGACGGGTGTTCAGCGCTTCGCTGGCATGCTGCAATTTTCCGGTGGGCCAGGATCTGCTGCTGTGGCAGCACCCTTGAAGAAGGGGGGGGCACGTGTTTCTGGAAAGGCAGAGGCTTTTCCGGGGATCCCGGTTGGCAAGAGAGGGCAGCTTCGCGAAGGCGGCCTTGCAGGATCCTTCTGCACCAGCCAGGACGGACGGCCCAGACTGGGGACAGGGGAGTCAGGGATTCTTCATGCCGGCAAGGCCGGAGGTGGCCAAAGCGGGGTCGCCCCTCTTGTCCCTCTGACTCGGGCGCCTCAGGTGCACTTGCAGTAGTAAGCCGAGATGGCATTGTTCCAGTCGCCGAAGATCCCCCGCCTGTATTCTTGGAGACGAGGGTAGGACCCGGTCTTGAAGGTGCGGGTTTTGCCCCCTTTGCCCTTGGAGGACCAGACCACCAGCTGGCACTTCTGGGCCACCACCAGGGAAGAGACCTTGTTGTTGAACGGCGAGGGCACGTAGGGCTGGTCCTCCTCGGGGGGGACCAGCAGGACGTCGCCTGCGCAGCACTGGTCGTAGTAGGGGCTGTTCTCCGTGTAGAGCTTGGCACAGACCTTGGTGCCGTCGGCGTTCTTGAGGTCCGTCGGGACCGGGCACTCGGCCCACACCCCTGCCGCGAGCAGGGGGAGAAGGATGGCGAGGAAGAGGGGGCTGCGCAAAGAAGTCATGGTGGCTGCAGCAACCCAGGCGAAAGGATTCGGCCCTTCGGAAAAGAGGGTGCTTTATATCAAGCCGTTTCCGTCCCCTTGGCTGGGCTCTGAGGCAAGGCCATCGGGTGGACCTTGGGCTGGAGATAAGGGTGGGAGAGAAGAGGGCTGTGCTGGGCGATTTCCAGACCATCGGCTTGGCTGGTCAAGATCTCCAGCCAATGGGATAACGGGAGTGTCAGAAACTATCGTTTTTTAAGGCAACACCTCATAAATCCAAGGTTTTGAATATCAACAAGGGGTGGGGTGGGGGGGGGAGACTGTCCTTGATGCCTCTCGTGCCAAAAGGACTGCCTTGGCAAGAGAGAATTTATTTTCCTTCTCGAAGGGGAGAGTTTCCCGGTCAGGATCAGTCCTGATACACAGCAGTTCAAGGGAGAGTTTGGGGTGCAGGGGACCCCAGCACAGCTCCTGACTTGGAGGCTGACGCCAGGCAGTCCGGTTCTTGTCCAACTCGGAGTGACAGAGAAGGGAGAAATTGCTCTGGTCAACTTTTAAAAAGAAGACCAAAAGGAGGGGACAGCACTAGGAGAAGTTCTAGGAAGAGCCTCTGGAAAGGTCTGTACCCTCCCCCCCTCCCTGTCTAGGTTGGCCACACTTGGCTGGTCACCACCGTCCATGGGGGAAGTTCTCCTCTGCAGGCACTACTGCCTCAGTTTCCCCCCTCACATTCCTGTTCAAATTGGAGATCTCCTCTGGAGAGACGGGAAACCGTTTTAGAGGGCTTTAATCCTGGCTCCCTCCCCTCCCTCTCTGGTAAGTGAGAGGCAGGCAACACGGGTTCTCCGTCCTGCCCCATACCCCAGCCCCCCCCCTCTCCCCCCCCTGTATATCTAATCTTTTCAGCTTGATCCCATCCCCAGTCGCCCCCCAGCTGGTCTTTCTTCCCAGGGCCCAGGTGTGCATTTCCCTTGGTAGACAGTGAGGCACGCTCCCCTCCACCCTCCCGCTTTTCTCCTGGTGACAACAAGAGAAATGGTCATAGCTTTCAGGCAAGTACAAGTTCAAAATACCAATTCCATGGGCTTACTCCGATGTAGGAGCTGCTTTGAAACGCTTTGGGTTGTGCTTTGTTTCAGAAAGCATCCAGAGATACAGGCAGGGCCCCTTCCATTTTTTTTCATGCTGGGCCTAACCCGCACTCCTCAGCCCCAAAATTTAAAGGATTTGAATTCTCCTTGCTCAAATATCTTGCATTTAGCATTAACCACTGTGTGCTCTGCTAAAATGAGGATCTCGAACCCACACCCACAAACACACACACACACACACCACAAAAACCAACTTGTATAGAAAATTGTGGAAAGTTGTCATCCACTCCCCCAACCCCCATGTTCATGAGGTGTGCTAAATATGACACCACCCCTGCAAATCTAATGTCTCCAAAGTTATGCCCCCCCATCAAACTGTGTGCTAATCAGGTGCCCACACACCCCAGGTCTGCTGAAACACGATATCTGGGTTTATAGTCAGTGAATGAGCAAAATCCCTTCCAAACCCAGATGAAATAGTTGGACTAGCCACGGGCAGTTTAGGGGTGCAGACTCTCAATACCCATTGTGATGGCAAAAAGGACACCCCCATAAAATGGGTGCCTGCAGTGTGCCAGAAGATAAAAGATAATCACACACCCCATTCCTTAATCCTTATAGTAGCCCTCAATCCCAGAATCTGGTTCCTCCTCCACACCTAAAACTTAAAAATCCCACCTGGGGAGGGGTTGGTGGGGAAGGGAGTCCTGGGAATACGAGAAAGTCCGCGTCGCCTTCTCCTGTCTGAATTGGTGTGCCAGACTTTTCTCGGGGGTTTGAGAGCGCTCCCAGAGCAAACCTATGCTTAGTAACAGAAGCCGCTAATTTAAGACAGCCTCTATCTGCAGAAGCTTTTTTTTTAAACCACCCACATTTTCAGTTTATTATAATTTTCCAGCTGGGTGTCCGCAGCTCTGCGTGTGCCAGAATATTTGCGTGTGAGGAGCATTCAAGGAACAAGCAGCATAATGCAGATGAGAAACAACCATTAACAATATAAACCAAAAACTTTAAAACCCAAACAAAGGCGAGTGCCAGCTGGAAGAACCAGTTGCAGTGCGGAGATAAACTCAAAGTGTTTTTTTTTCTGCACGGTCTATTTCATGCTCAAAATGCATCCAGCTGAGAACTTTGGCCATTGAAGGAAAGGCAAACCCCTTTGATCTGAGACATGTCCCGGACCCCCAACGAGAGGTAGACCCATTTCGCAGCTGGGGTGGCCGACTCCAGGGGTTGGTCAGCCCCAAACGGTTGGTCCCCATCAAGCTTCCCTTCAGAACAGATTGGCCTGCTTTCATGCTTTGTTAGCTACAGATGCATACGCTGCATTACCTTATTATATAAAAACAAGTATACGTTTGTTTGCTTTTTTAAAAATACTGTAGCCATTTATTATTTTAGCTTTTAATTTTGTTTCTTTTAATACCGCAAAGTATCTTGGCTCCTTAAGAGAAAAGAGGCATGTATCTATTTTAAATAAATAAGCATTCCTCTGTAAGGAGGACCTCCTAGGTGGAGGTTCTTGCTCCCCCTTCCACTTTCCAAGGGCTCCCACGAGAGGCAGGGCTCGGGCATGGGTTTACTTGTGAATTGCTTTGGACTACAATTCCCACAAGTCCCCGTGCGTGCGAGTGTATAGGGGTTGTAGGCTATAAAGCAACCCAAACCTTCACCCTTGCTTTTTTGCCCTTCCCACTTGGAGTAAGCCTTGATCGAAGGTCAGGGACACTGGTGGTGGTGGGGGGGGCTTCTAATCCCCGCCCCCCCCGCTCACCTCCTTTGTCGCGATAGGCTTATTATCCTGGCGCCCCGCCCCTCTACGCTCTGTCCTACTTAATTTCTCTCTCGCCCCGCCCTTCTTGTGTTATTCATTCAGCTGTTCGAGCCTTGGCTCCGCCCACTCCCCTGTGAAGATTCTTCCCCCCCCCCCAGAATAGGCATACAGTACCCAGAATGCTTTGCGGACACCTGGTGGCTCCAAACCGGAGCGAATTCTTCCAACAGGTTTTTGTTGCGGGTGGGTGGTGGTGGTAAGGTGCAGGACCCATTCCCACGGGGACCCCCGTCGTCCTTTCTAGGGCCGACCCCCCTGGGGGTGCTCAGCTCCCTCGCCAACTGGCGGAGTCTCCCGCCGGAGGAGTCTTAAAAGGGCGACGGTGGCGGCGGGTCGTAGCGCATGGGGCTGACCTGAGGTGGGGTGATGGCCGCTTGAAAGCTGCTCCCAATCCGCCGCCCTGGCAAGCGAAATGTACTGTAGTCTCCGCGGGCAATTGTGGATGGCTTCTGCGGGGGGGGGGGGGGGGGG